TTTTCAGGTAGCTTTGCAGGAAGGTTTCTTCAAGCATCTTGGAGATGTTGCCAAAGTTCTTCTGGGTTTAGTCTTGAGTGTTTTCTGGTTCTGTACTTTTTCTCAAGTATGGTTTTCAGGTACTTTTTCCAGGGGCAGTTGTATGTGGCCTAATGGTTAGAAAGTCGGACTTGTAACCCGGAGGTTGCAGGTTTGAATCTCAGATCCGGCAGGGGTTGTAGGTGGGGGGAGTAAATACCCAGCGCTCTCTTCCACCCTCAATACCACGACTGAGGTGAGACCCTTGAGCAAGGAACCAAATATGGCTGCCCACTGCTCCAGGTGTGCTCACGGTGTGTTTGTGTGTGTGTGTGTGTTCACTGCTGTGTGTGTGCACTTGGATGGGTTAAATGCAGAGCACAAATTCTGAGTATGGGTCACCATACTTGGCCACATGTCACTTCATGTTCACTTAACTCCTCTGGTTTAATTCTCTTCACTCGAGAGAGTGTCAAGCCTGGGTGGAAGCCATGCTTCCTTTTTTAAAGAAATACAAACAATTATAGAATGCATCGCTATGAGTGCCTTCAATTCCCTCGAGAAGTGCTGAGAACAGAAAAGAAAAGGTCCTTAGTCCTTACCTTCTCTTTCAGTCAGTCTCTCAAATGCATCATGCCTGGCACATCCACTCTCATGGCGCTTTTCTACTGCATGGTACGGCACGTCTTGCTTTTGGGGGGGTATTCCACTGTGTACACAGTACCTTGTACCTGACGTTCCACCCAAATGTTCATGAGTGTGAATGGAATACAGTGCCGAAATATAGAATTTATTTAGAGACTCGTGCTGCGTCCCAATGTGCCTACTTATACTACGCCCTTAAAGAATGTACTATTTTGGTTTACTTATACTACGCCCTTAAAGTATGTACTATTTTGGTGAAGAAAAAGTACACACTATTGAGTGTAGTCGAAGAGTAGGCAAGCTTTGGGACATACTATCACATATACAATTGCATCTTTAATGGACTGCTCTGTTGCATAATTATCCTGTCACTGTAAACTGGCCTGTCAGTCATCTTCTCACAGTTAACATCCTCTACAATGAAATATAACACAGATAACATTAAATAAATATAAAGGAAAGGAAAGGACGTGACGTGTGGCCAAGTATGGTGTCCCATACTTGGAATTTGTGCTCTGCATTTAACCCATCAAGTGCACACTCACAGCAGGAGATGTTGCCAAAGACCAGACACCGGTCATGCTGGTGGCGTTCCTCACAGTGTCCACTAGAGGACGCAGTGCGAGTTCTCAACAAGTGCCCCTGAAAGTGAAGTCAAAACAGTTCGATCGCCATCTGGTGGCTGGCTGCAGTATAGGTCATAAACCCCGTCTTATCCATGTAAACGAATGGGACTTGCGCCAAACTAAATAATCAAATTACACTTCAAATAAATATTTCCCAAGGATGGATTCCTCATTTTAGATAGTTATTGTCACACTAATGTATGTACAAAAGTTGTTGTTTTTTTGGGCAGAACTTTGATACCGCGGCTCCACCTCACGATCACTACTGCGGGCCCCAAATGAATCACTTTTTTAAATGATTATTATTAATCGGAACAAAATATATAGCAGTATACAGAAATGTACATATTAATACATAAAAAACGTGCCAGAGTGTACAAACCATTGATTCATTAATCAAAAGCAGTATTCACTGCTTTTTTTGGGCAGTTCTCCAAACTGCTGCAGTAGTCTTTAGTCTCCTGAAGAAAATGAATGAACTTTGGCTTGGATCCTGACCATTTATTACGTATGTGAAATTTTCCCCAAATAATCCAAATGTGGACAAGAAAAGTAAAATTATTATTACTTTCATTGAAATAATACATACATATATCAAAATAATTTAACTTGAATATATTGTTTTCCTTCTAATGAAAATCACAGGATACTCTTTTGGCGTAAATGGAAACCCAAATTTATCCAAATATTCACTATAAAATAATAAATTACCATTTGAATTTAAAAGTTGTTTAACTAATGTCATTTTCTGTCGGGTCTCGGGTCTGATCACCTGTTTCTTGTTGTCTCTGTGTTTGTGTGTTGTGCGTGACTTGTTTTGACAGCTCGCCACGTGCGCATATGTCAGCATGATCGTTTCCCCGCCCTCCTTGTTTCTCGGCTCTCCTCTTGTTTCACACCTGGATCTGGTTATCTCATTAGCTTCCCCTTATAGCTCCTCGTGTTTCTCTGTCTTTTGTCAGATTGTTGTGATTATTTCCTTGCTTTGACTGTCAGTGTTAATATCGCTTACCAGTCCTGTCTTGTCTCGTCCAGGCTCCAGTGCTTGTAGCGGTCTGTTTATTTTCCCGCACCTCTCTGTTTTCCCGCACCTCTCTGTGCTTTCAGGAGCCGTGGCCTCCCTCCGGCATCCGCCTACCCTGGGACTCTGCGGTCTCGTTGTTGGGCTTCTCAGCCTCTCGCTCGGATTAGCGAGCTGCCCCTCCGGCTCCGTCTCCACTGCCGCTGTTGCGGCTTGTTCCAGCCACTGCTATCCACCCATCTGTGTGGTTGGGGATTCCACATCCACACTAACTGTCCGTGAAGGCGCTCATTGCCTGCAGTGATAATCTCTGTACAATAAAGCACCTGTTTGAACCCGCACCTGAATCCAGCCTCGTTTTCCATGACAGGCGTTGCTGACTCTTTTAACTTTTATAAAGAATATCTCTTTGGATTTGAGAATTTAGTCTTTGCAACTTTACAGATCTTCTTTATGCACCAAGAGCTTGTAACACTTCAATGAGATGTTATATATGTTTTATGTAAATAATAGTTATTTAGAAAATACTAATTATTTGTTGTTTACAATACGTCAAGAAAGAGTTCTGCCGCTAGTATTATAGCGCTATGCGGAAGTGAAGTCGCTGGCTGAGATTCTACCGGAAATACGTAAGCAGCGTTCTTGCATGGAGTCCATTTAAGATCGGCTTTGGTCGGATCCTGTAGTTAATTTCCGGAGCATTTCTCTCACCTATGGGATACAAAGAACAATCGCGTTTATATAAAGCCTATAGGCTATAACTGTAAAAACTGTCTAGCTCTTTGCAAAATAAATAAATAAACAAATAAATAAACTACTGTTGAAAGTGTTAATCATACTGTAAATAATGCAATATAAAAAACTAATAAAACCATATAGCAGCCAGTCTATGTGTTACTCAATCAATATTATTTTCATTTGTGCGCTTTCCCTTTTTGAAAAAAAAAAAAATAATAATAATAATAATAAAGCAATAATAACCATTACAGACTAACCCAACCTTGTGCTAAAGAAATCCTTTTTGTTTTTTTATTACAATTCTTTAAAAGGATTTGCATTGATGTTTTGTCCATACAATGAAAGCCAATGGGGTCCAGTGATGTTTGGACCCAAAGCTCTTCAAAATAGTATTTTTCCTCCCTCCTGTTTCACAATATTCGGTTAAAGTCCATCAAATGCACCTCACAGCTGAGCTGGAAGACTAAACGAAGACTTCCAGATAGCACAGGTTTGTAAAACAGAAGTGTCTTTCTTTGGCAGATCGGGGGCGGTGAAGAAGGGTTGGAAAATAGGAGGAAGAACAAAAACATCCTTTTAAACCCTATTTTTTTATTTAGCGTGCCACTCATTTTGCTGATTTGGATTCCATATACAGAGGTAGGCTAATTCCATCACTTCTTTATAAGATTTAAGTTTTTTTAAGTGAATGCTTCTTAACATCAAGGCAACAGGAATAATAGGGTTAAATTATGCAGTTTTGTCGTTTACTGCATTTTAACTTTATTTTCAGATAGATAGGCTATATGATTAGTAACAGATGTTTTAGGGCGTTTCTAATGAGGCCAGAAGCAGTTCGCGTCGGGACGTTTTTAAAATTTTAATAGCCTCGTTATAGGCATGCATGGTTAAAAACCATTTGGGACAATGGTTAGACAGCTATATTTATACGCAGTCTTTAGGGTTATAGGCTATGTACATGAATTTGTTAATTTCTATATCTTATTTTGCTCGTTGTAGTACACATTCTTAGCGTATAGCCTGTCAGTGCAGCTGTAGTGGCCGTATTGGTAACACGAGAAAATATCGATTCATAGTTCATTTGTCGATTAATACAGCTTCCTTTTGAATGGGACATCAAATACTGTCTACCCATGCCATAGTGCTCTAAGGCTGGTGAACGCTCGTGACTATAACGCCGCGCCGCTGACTGCTGTTATAACCACAATGTTTCGCGACGCATATCAGTTCGTTTACGTAACAGGACAGACAGACAGTTTTCATTACGGTATTTGAATATCTAAAAAAAATAATAATAATAAAAAGCACCGGCCGTCACGTTTTATCGTGCATGCTCACATTTCTTTATATAACCTGCATTGTTCAAGCTTTGTGTGCTTAAGAGAACAAAAACGCGAATGAATGTCAATGCGTTTAGATATGAACCCCCAATTCGGGTTAAATTGGGTCCTCGGGGTCTTTTTGGTGGGACAGCTCCAGCAGAGCAATGCGACACACAATTGTCGCATCAGAGGCGGCTTTTGAAGAACAAAAAGGCGGCTAAAGCGCAACGAACCCTCACGATTGAAAACCGCGGATATATGCTGTTAACACTTTGATTCTCGACACGACAGCGAATTGCGTTTTTATACAGACGCATTCCTGTATGAAAGATGGATTAATTCGTCGTTTAATTGGTAGCCTAGGCTATTCTGATTAATCTGAGTCAGCGATTTAAAAGACAGCATTCATGCATATCCAGGCAGTCAGTCATGGGTTAAGTGCATTTATAAACCAAACAGAGTTATTAATAAATATGCGGTCTTATGAAATCGACTGTTAACCAGTGGAAGTGGAGCAGATGCATTTATTTTTTTCACGCTGAGGCACTCAGTTTTCATTCAACACGAGGCCAAAGGCTAACGTTACTTTGGCAAATTTTGTCAGCAAAAAGGCATATATTTTTAGAGCCTGTATATTCAGACCATTGGTGCTTTTGAAAGCAGGAAATGCTCCTTTGTGTTTGTCTTGTGAGTTAAGAGTTCTATTGAGTTAAGAACTCTACACGACACACACATAAACATACAGGTGCATCTCAATAAATTAGAATGTCGTGGATAAGTTCATTTATTTCAGTAATTCAACTCAAATTGTGAAACTCGTGTATTTAATCAATTCTATGCACACAGACTGAAGTAGTTTAAGTCTTTGGTTCTTTTAATTGGGATGATTTTGGCTCACATTTCACAAAAACCCACCAATTCACTATCTCAACAAATTAGAATACTTCATAAGACCAATTAAAAAAAACATTTTTAGTGAATTGTTGTCCTTCTGGAAAGTATGTTCATTTACTGTACATGTACTCAATACTTGGTAGGGGCTCCTTTTACATGAATTACTGCATCAGTGCGGCGTGGCATGGAGACAATCAGCCTGTGGCACTGCTGAGGTGGTATGGAAGCCCAGGTTGCTTTGACAGTGGCCTTCAGGTCATCTGCATTGTTGGGTCTGGTGTCTCTCATCTTCCTCTTGACAATACCCCATAGATTCTCTATGGGGTTCAGGTTAGGCGAGTTTGCAGGCCAATCAAGCACAGTAACACCATGGTCATTGAACCAGCTTTTGGCAGTGTGGACAGGTGCCAAGTCCTGCTGGAAAATGAAATCAGCATCTCCATAAAGCTTGTCAGCAGAAGGAAGCATGAAGTGCTCTAAAATTTCCTGGTAGATGGCTGCGTTGACTGTGGACTTCAGAAAACACAGTGGACCAAAGTCCTCTTTTCAGATCAAAGTAAATTTTGCATTTCATTTGGAAATCAAGGTCCCAGAGTCTGGAGGAAGAG